ATAATTAATATATATAATTATTAATGCATTATAAAAGTATTTCAGAGAAAATTTATACATTCGTGAAACTTTCTTTATTCACCGCTGCCTCTTAAATATCGACCCAGTTAGCGCAGTGCGAAGCTAAAGCACCAATATTAAAAATACTCAGCGTTCGCGACAAAGTATCATTGCTCGAATGCCAACAGAGTATCCTAAGCATCTTTACTGCCGCGGTGAGTCTCGCACAATCCGGTTACTGCGCGCAAAATCCTTCGCAAGGGGATCGCGTTTCTACTAATTAACGACGGCGATTAATGAAATGAATCCCGTCGACATCGACGATAATATCGAATGCGCCTAGTCACTACATAGCTTCGCGGATGAGATCGATTAACTGTGATCTCTGCGCTTCGTAGAATGATTACCCGTCTGCCTATTCTCCGACGAGAATTGTAGCAGGGCTGTTTCTGATTTAATTTGTCGAAGTAGAAGCGAAGCGGTAGTGCTTTTTTAACTGATCGCCTCCGTTTGGGCTGATTCAAGCTTATAAACTGACCTTAGTCCCTTTTCCTTCTTTTTCTGGCGTCTTCTAATTGCACGTTCAGTACTTGCACACGGCCGAACCGCTTCTCTCGAGTGGACCAATCGGGACTTAATTATGTTATGACAGCGACGGCGCGGAGAGAAATGAAATAATTACGCCGCCTCGCTATCTCGTAAAGGCGGACAACCTTTCTTTTCGCCGCGAAAAACTTGTTAGGACGAGTATGAACGGACGCCAGCCGCGTCGTCTCGAACTCGCGCGCTTACTTCGCCAAACGACGCGGCCTCTCGTTTCTTTTTTTTCTCCTCCGCTCGCGGATACGATATCCATTTTTTTGCGCCGCAACGAACGATTACTTCTCGCATCATCTCCCTCCCTCTCTCTCTCTTTCTCTCTCGTTTCTTCTCCTCCCCCGCCTCGTCCTCCGGTCACCCGTCGCTTTTAATGGCCATTCATGCGCGTAATCGCCAGATCCACGGCGCGCGCGCGCATTTCCGACGATGATGCCCGGCCTCATTATTTGCGCAGGATGCAAGTCGTGTACACACGTGGCACGCAAGTCGTCCCCCGCGCGCGAGTTTTGTTGTTGCTCGTTGTTCCATCGGCGCGCCGATGTTTATTCAACTGCAGCTGCGTCAGCGAGCTTCGGTGTCTGTCGAGCTGCATCGCGACGTGCCTCACGATGCGTTGCTTCCGTTAACGGTAAAGGATAGACTTAACCTGCAAAAGTACATTTGCTTGCAATAGTGCAAGTTTTACTACACAATTTAAGATGCCAAAGTTAGCAGCAATTTTCCAATAATTGTAAGTTAAAATCGCAAAACGATGTAAGTATCGAAGAAAAGCAAGCAAAAAATACTCTGCACTTTCAATAGGAGCAATAAAAATATTCTTTATATAATTAAAGTAGAATTGTTGTAATCCCAAAGAAAAGTTTAAAGAAGCGGAAGCTAAAGTTTATATAATTAAAACGATGTATTACAGTTGCAACAGTTGAAGGGACCAATACAGGCAACGTAATACAAAAAGAAAATTTTGTTTAAGAATCGCGCGCGCTCTTATTTTCGATGTTTTACCACCGTTGCGACGGCGAGAGGACGGAAGGGAGATGGAGGGGGGGGGGCGACGATTTATATCCGATGCGTGTCCGCTGCTCGTAGAAGCGCGCAGGACGCCTTAAGAAGTGCCGGCTTACGTCATCCGATCTTCGGGCCCCGCGTGTACCCGGGCTCTCCGAAGACCTATTACCTTATTTACGATTCGCACGGCCATTATCTCCCGGCAACAAAGTGAACCAGCCGGTTTTTCGTTACTATGTCCGCGCGTGTATACTCGGCGGTGTGAAAGAAAAAGGGGGGGGGGAACCCCTTTTCTCGGATACGAAAGAGAGACCAGCACAAAAGACACGCACAAACAGCCGCGCAGTTTTGCGGTCGTGGCCGTGCGGTGCCGGGAACGGAGGGAGGACTTTTGTCCTCGCTTCTTAATAACGCCCTTAACGTGGAAGACACGTGGTGATCCTGGCAGAGTTGCTAGAGCTCCTCACGCTATTTCGATATTATCGGAGTATCGATATATTAGGTGCAAGCTCGTTATTTTTGCGTTTTATTATTGGTTTGGTTACCAGTTTTATTTAACACACGCGCAGCTGCTCTCTCTAAAAGATAATAATAACAGTTTAGTTATAGTGTATATTACGATAGTAAAAGAGTCGTTTAAACAAAAGTTCGGAGTGTTTTACGTTTTTTTCGATGAAAGCTATCGTTATATTTCTAAGACGTCGAAATAAAAGTAGCAATTTCGGCAACGTTAATAAGTACCATCGAGTTGTAATGACTCGTTCGATGGAGCCTTTAATTTTGGAACATGCGATTTCAGTTTCCGTCAAGTATTTATAAATTGGCATTTACGTCAGACGCGTGCTACCGCATAGTGGTAATCGATCTTCTTCTCTATTTCCAAAGCTCTTTGACGTAGTTCTTACATTGTTTATTATTTATTATTTTCGTTCAAGCAAACCAAACTCGAATAAACCAAACTCGAATAAACGAAACGTGAAAGAAGTAATAATTATTAAAAGTAACAGAAAATAAAATAGAGATTAATAAATAATATATAATTTAACTAGTTAATTATTATAATAAAACATTAAATTTTGGATATACATTCGTCACTTTTATCTACTTCACGCAAGTCTATCATCTATAAAGTAGTATTTAATTTGAAGAAAAATATATCTAATAAGTTCGATGAACTGAAAGCTTCTTTGTTGAACAATTTTTGAAATTACAGTTAAAGTTTTCGCGACGATAGAAATATTTGCGGTGAAAATATTTGCGCGGGAAACGGCCAAAGCGTACGTTGGTGTTTGTCAAATCGCAGGGGCATAGTACGTTAATTAATTTCCACCGATGGATCGCCGTACTGGTCGCTGTTATGAGAGAGCGGGGGAGAGCGAGAGTTTTCGATGAAAACGAATTTGTCGTTGGCCGCGATGCGACACGACGCGCCGCGGCGCAACAACCTGTTCGATGACTTTTCCGTTTGATGATTGCAACAAGTGAGGCCCACCGCCGTGCTCTCTCCCGCGCTCTCCCAAACCATTTTACCACCGACAGCCATTCCCCGTTTCGCATTCAACAAGTGGCCAAATCATTCAGCGCGGGGCCGCGTTTCCTCGAAAAATCGGAATTTTTTTGCGGCGCCGTCACTTGGCCGGTCATCGATCGATCTATCAAAACGTGCTAATGTTCTTCGCGGCGGCGATGGCATATCGACGCGGGAAACTCGCGATGATATCCCGAGCGAGATCATTAGCGGCGCCATCGAGGCTGCAATTTTTTTTCATACACAGTCTACTACTTTTATTGCGCTGTAATCAATTTCTCTATTTTCGAAAATCCACACACCATCCCTCGCGACGTAATGACAGTATTCAGCGCTTCGCTTTTAAGAGGCGCGCGAGGCGCATCCCTTCGAAATCGATTGACGCCCTTTCACCACAACGTAATCATTACTGTCATCGGGAAGCGCCGATCCTTTTCTCCGTAATTTCAGTCGGCGCGCCGAGTGCCATTGGTGGTGTGTGTATATATATATATCGCTCTCTTTCGCTCTTACTCCGAAGAGAATCCGTGGTGGTGGACTTCGAAAGAACCTCGTGGTATCTCGTGGAATGGGTCTCATTAAGGACGCCTTCACAGCCCTTCATCCTTGGCTCTTCAGGTCCGCGCCTTCGCTTCTCTTCTCTCCTTCCTCTCTCTCTCTCTTTCTCTTCTCCGTCCTTTCTCGCCCCCGCTCGAGACGCTCGTCTTTTATACCTGGCTCCCTCCTGCTCGCATTCTGGGCTCGGTCCTGTACGTTGCGTGCGCCTTATGTGCCCGAAGGCCATTCGACGCGCTGCTGGTTCCTTGTCATCTTCGACTTTAAGCACGCCGCTGCTTAAATGTGTTTTCAAAGGTATTCACGATGAAACGAGAACTACCAGCGTGCTTTCTGACCGACTGCCTGCCGTAAATGTCTCTAATCGTGAATGCCTCGAACGCAGGTAGAATGTAAAGAAAAAATCTCGCAGTATCCACACGTAAAGCTTTTAAAACTTAAGACTAATCGATTTCTTCGAATCGAACACCTCGCACTCCACTTGACTCCACAATGTATTATTATTTATTTTCCCATAACTGTTAGAGCGCCGAAGGCGGTCTCAAGAGTGCGTGCGAAAAGTGCCGAGCAGCGCAATCACGCTTCTCATATTCATGTCGAAAAATGCAAACAACCGCTGTCGCACTTTTTTCTTTTATTTTACTATTCAACTTATTGTTAGCGGAGGATAGCTCTTATCAGACGGTTGTACAGTTTAATGCATTCTCCATTTCTCATATAACTCAGAGATTAACTTGATTTCCCGAGGCTACCACGTCGCTCAAACTTTTCGACACGATTCAAACGGTTAAATAATTATATTAAAATATTTAGAATTATGAGAAAAAAGATAATATACCGTTTTCTATTATGTGGCCATGCGAAAACTCTGCGGCTAAGATCAATTTTATACGACGAAAACAAATAGAGCGTCCATAGAGATTAAGTTTTTGTGTACACAAAGAGTACTCCTATACATTTTCGATGATGAATATCTCTCTCCCCGTGCTCTGACAATAAGCAAGGCAACCTGTGTACATAAGCGCGGATAAGGTTGCTCCATTTATTCGTATTAATAGCGAGAAAGAAGCGCACGTGGACGGCTGGCTGGCCCCGGAGTTAGAAAGATTAAACACAATGCCACAAAGTGACGGCAGGGGCTGGCTTGTCGCTCGGCGCGGATGCCTCAGCTTATTCGTCGCGAGTGCATTCCGCGCGCCACGGCTTTAACGCCCACGTGCGCGCGTATTCTCTATCCGCGTTCTCTCCCGGTATTGTCGTGTATACACAGCTAATCGAATCCCTTCGTTTCCCTCCCCCGTTTTTCTTGCAGGGCGGCGGCGGTAGCGGCGGGGCTGCGGGCGGACTGAAATTCACGGTGGCGGACACTTGCGAGAGGATCAAAGAGGAATTCAATTTCATCCAGCAGCAGTACCACTCGTGAGTATCTCTCTCTCTTTCTCTCTTTCTCTCTCTGTCTTTCTCTCCCTCTTCATTTCTGTCCTCTTTATCTCTGTCCTTCTCTTCGCCATTCTCGTCGTTTCTCTTGTTTCTGTTTTCTCTTACTCTCTTTTCGCTTTTCTGCGTTTGCCCCACTGTACTCGTGTACCTTCAAGTTTTCACGATTATTCAAGACGACAGTTTTCCGTTTGCATTTTTCTTCTTTCCGACGATGCCGATTCATGCGCATCGATCGATGCATGCTACGTACGTCTTTCTTTTTATTTCTCCTTGCTTGTGAGTTTTTTTATCTGTAGCTAGTGCATATTTTATCCTTTTAAATCTTGCTCTAATTATTCAACTAACTAATTCTATCGAATCATTTTTTGCTTTTCATTTTTCAGACTGAAGCTTGAGTGTGAGAAGTTGGCCAGCGAGAAGACCGAGATGCAGAGGCACTACGTTATGGTAAGGCACTTTGTAAGTTCCTTTTTGTGTCTTCCCTCTCTTCGATCGAGTCTTGTTATCTCTTTCTTTCTTCGAGTCGAGAGCGATTTCGACGAATCAATCGAATAATATTTTATTCCCCCGACCGCGATGATATTCGTGGCTATATACTTTTCCATTTTCGATTATTCTTTCATGAGTAAAATGTGATAATCAGCGAACTGTTTATAATATCATAAGAAACTTTATACCGAAGACCGATATAAACAAGAGAGTAACCGCCGCCTCTCTCTCTCTCTCTCTCTTTCTCTCTCGCGGCGAATATTTAATCCATCGTTTCTCGCAGCTTGTGCATAATGCACGGACTCGTTAAAAATAAAATCGAAATTCGATTATCGACTTCGCGTGCACCGCGAAGAAGCCTTCGAGGAGTCTCTCTCGACTTGCGTTCTTATTGGCACGCGAGAACACACGCTAGGCACACCGGTTGTTTATCGATAACGCGAGCACGAAGGAACAGGATATTATATAAACGACAGACTCTCGCGCGCGCGGGGCGTTGGTGCCCATCCTCTTCGTTTAAGGAAAAACGATCGATATTATTCTCGCTTCATATTGCCGGCTCCTCTGCGATTTAGTTCCATCAGCGCGAAGGCAATTAGTCTAGCCAGCCGTACTAATCGTATCATCGGTATCATCAGTAAAGAGCTTAACTTGTACTTACCTATATTAAAGTACAGTACTAACATGTACCAAAGTATTCGCCGCAAGTATCCGTTCCTTTCTTATCTCCGCGAGGCGAGCCGGATGTCGTTATTGTCATTACCGCGATAGATTTTTCTTTTCTAAGCGTACAGACTTGCATAATCTGTAAAGAAATGTCTGAATTTGCAATAATTTCTTCGGAAACCAGCGCGATTCTGCAATAATATTTGAATATTTCGTTTGGAATCTTTAATATCTGTAAAATAATTTCTCTTATCCATTAATGCGTCTCGTGAAAGTGATAAGTAAATCGAATTGTGTTGCTTGTACCGAGAAATTTGGTCTCGTTTCAAAGGCGATATACTAGACGGGGAGCGTTGATACCGGAAATTGAATGCTCCGAATGAAATATTGGCTCGCCCGTACCATCGCGAATAGCTGCTACAAAAAGTCACGCGTCGGGTTGCAATCAAAGGCTTTCTTAGAATTCGTTCATAAAACGCATAAAGCACAGTTGTGAAATACATTCTGATATACGCATTTTTTCCCTAATCGTTTTATGTGAAAATGTTTGATTTTCCGGGAAAGCTTTTTGCGAAAATGTTATTTTCATGAAAGACGCCACTTATGAAGAATTACGTAGAAATTTCCGAGGTATATTCTATATTTTGCGTCTCGTCTTTTCCGCGGCAAATCAAACTCACGGGAGACACGGTGGCTGGATTGAAAATGGGAAGTAAAAATCAAGAAGCGCAGCGCGCTTTTGTCCCGATACAAAATTCAGCGCTCTGTGTGAGAATGCGCTCTCGCAAGGGCATCGGGCGGCGGTTATGCGTTTCTGCAAACCGCTTTCGAGATGCAAAAGCGAACGGCGCGGATTGGAGGGTCAATAATCTCGTTATGCTCAATCGTGGACGCAAATTTCAGCGAAGCTGAACTATATTGCGTATGTTTACTCGGTTGATTTTCAAAATTTTACGAGCGCTTGTGGAAATCTGAAATTGAAGCTGATAGCTAGAAGCTGGTGAGTCTAATGCTATGTAAATGGAAAAAAAATATACTTTACGCTAATTGCATCGTGTTTGCATTTTATCGCGATTAAATATAAAGATTCGAAATTTAAACCCGGAATCGTTTCGGAATTATTACGGAATTTTATAAAATGTACTCTAGTGATTATTAGTCTATTTTATAATTCTGTTTATTGAGTAAGGGATATTTCTCTTGGGAATATTTAATTTGTTATTGGTTCTATCGGTTTTATTTTATCATTCCGTTTGCATTAATTACGGAAATGCACGTTGTAATTTTTTAAACTCCCCCGATTCTATTCGTTAACGTTCGAAGTAAATCCGGACATCGCGGAGTGTTATAATGCAGATACCTCGGATTTGCGCGCTTAATGCATTCCTAAGAAATGCAAATCCAAAATCGCGCGAATGCGAAGGGCCGGCGGTGTTTTGCATGCGAAAATTGCTCCCGTTCTACGCGAGCTCCATTAACACCGTTAAAACACGCAGGTTAAAGAACTGTATAAAAATAAAAAAAAAAAATAAAAAAAACAAGAAGAAAGAAAAAAAATTAATCCCGCGTTCGCGTCAGATCGATGTCGTCGCTGTAACGTCGGGGATCCTTGGATTCCGTGGTCCTACACCACTGCCTGCTGTACGGCCGATCGTAATTGTCGCGAACTATACTGTCTCTGTAAACTGCTACACCGATGTGACACCGTGCAAGCAACCAAGCAG